GACCACCCAGCACCAGACTCACCTCACCACCGGATGAAGAGCATCTCAGCGTGACCTCAGCAGAAGTAAGGAGTACCTTCAGGAGGATTAATCCGCACAAGGCAACTGGCCCAGACAACATCCCCGGAAAAGTGTTGAAGGAATGTGCTGATCAGCTCTGTGAGGTGCTGGCAGACATCTTTAACACCTCACTTACCCTGGAGACAGTTCCCACCTGCCTGAAGACTGCCACCATCATCCCAGTCCCCAAAAGCTCTACAGTGACTGGTCTGAATGACTATCGGCCAGTGGCCCTCACCCCGATAGTCGCTAAATGCTTCGAAAAACTGGTCATGACTCACATCAAAACAACCATCAACATCAACGAGGACCCTCATCAGTACGCATACCGTGAGAACCGATCAACAGAGGATGCCATCTCCTCTGTGGTCCACACTGCTCTCAACCACCTGGAGCAGAAAAACTCTTACGTCCGTATGCTCTTTGTGGACTTCACATCCGCCTTCAACACCATGATCCCCCAAACCCTGATGGACAAACTATCCACACTAGGACTAAGCCCCTCCATCTGCAACTGGGTACTAGACTTTTTAACAAACAGACCACAGTTGGTGAGGATCCACAACTTCTCCTCCTCCACCATAACCCTCAGCACTGGCTCTCCTCAGGGATGTGTGTTGAGCCCCCTCCTGTTTACTCTGCTCACGTATGATTGTGCAGCTACCCATCCAGGCTGTCACATTGTAAAGTTTGCAGATGATACAGCGGTGGTGGGATGCATCACAAACAATGATGAGTCCAGCTACAGGCAAGAGGTGGAACACCTGGAGAGCTGGTGCAGAGAGAATAACCTTCACATCAATGTGAAGAAGACAAAGGAGATGATTGTGGACTTCAGAAGGAACAAAAACACCTACACCCCCCTGAACATAAGAGGATCTGCGGTGGAAGTGGTCTCCAGCTACAAGTACTTGGGTGTACACATGAATGACAACCTCAGCTGGAGCAACAACACCACCAGCCTGATCAAGAAAGCTCATCAGAGACTCTACTTCCTCAGACGGCTGAG